ATTAAGTAAAGATTTCAACAGTTTGCTCCCACACAAACATAAAGTGAAAAATAATAGATATTTTTTAAATGATGATGAAATCAGATCAGACCTATTGTCATGTTTAATCCCTGAGAGTCAAGTTGGGAATTGATAATTTCTTCTTCTTTTTTTTTATACAGAAGATCAGTTTAGTATACATTAAGTAAAGATTTCAACAGTTTGCACCCCCATAGAAACACAAAGCGAAATATACTGTTTGAGTACTCATTAGCATTAGGTCTCAATGTACAGCACATTAAGGACAGAGATCCTACATGAGGATAAGTGCACAGTGACTCCTGTACATCTCTTCCCTCTCTTATTCCTACTCTTATGTTTAACAGGGATCACATTTCAGTTAAATTTCAACACTTAAGAATAACTGTGTATTAATTACAGTTAATTGCCACTTAGTAATTATGCACATTTATGGGGTATATTGTGACATTTCAATACATGTTATAATAGGTATGGATTGTAATTTGTGTCTTTTAATTCTATCTTTTTGTTTTTGCACTTTCTTTCTTTAAAGTAAATCCATGCTTTTAAAAGGGGTGTTTGTCCTGCAGAATTTTGTAACTCTAATTAACATTCTTATCTAATCTAATTAATAGTTTTAAGAATCTTCTTTGCTGTTACATTATACATTTTTCTTCCATGTTTTCTGGTATTTTAGAATACACACATATTATTAATAACAATTCTGCTAGTGCTTTTCAGAATTGTCCTCACCCTTGTAGTTGTCTTTGTTGGAGCCATCTGTAAATGTCTATCTTTTCTGGCTCATCTACATGTTAGCCTTGTGACAATTGCCACAAATGCATTCATGCCAGTCCCTTCCTGGGTGCTGCACACAGGGGGTATTGTGACAATGTCTTCAGCTCCTGGGGCAACGCACGCACGGGATTCACTTACTGGTGCTTCCTAATTCCCCAATTCCATGGAACGTGATCTGTGTTATGCAGAAAATCGGCATTCCGCTTTTAGAGAGATAGTAAGTAGATAGATCTGTTCCTGTGAATTGCTTGGAATTCTATGCAATTTTTCAATCACGTGATTGGTAAACATGGATATTAAAACTGAATTAATGTTTACTATTAGTGATATTGCATGGTTTCTTCCATATTCTTAGTCTCAGTTTTGTTTCATCTACATAAACAGTGGAGTGTATTTTAGTGTTTGTCAGACCTAAATATGTCTCAGAACGTCTTCCTGCTTGATTGACACATTACTGGCTCCTCCAGTGGATCTGAGTATCATCAGTAACTTTTACTGAGCACAGAGCAGTTTTCAACACCAGTCTAAAAAACTTCCGTGGACTAATGAAGTTGCCCTGGAAACCTGTGTCCTTCATATTTTACAGAGAAAATGGGGAAACTGATGCAAAACAAATTGCCTGTGATCACACATTTGGAAATGGAAACCAAACCCAAGAAAATGCTGGTTCTAACTCCCAAATTCTGTTTTGGTTTTGCAGATTTCTTCACTCTTGGTGGATGTTATCATCTGAGGCTAGTGTGAACTCCAATCTGCTGAAGGTGGCCCTGTTTTCCTTTCCTTTCATCTGTGTGCGAGCTGCTAGATCTTTTACTTCAAATAACTTGCTGGAATATGCATGAGTGCATCCTTGTATTCAGTGAGACATCTTTCCACGGTCTTCTTGTCCCTTTAATAAAATTTTTCCTTTCTTCAGTTTTTACTTATAATTTTCTTAAATTTGTGGAATTATTCTTTTAGAATCATTGAATACTTTATTTTGCTTTTGTATGCTCATTACTCCATGTCTATTATTTTCTTCTTAACATTGAGCATCCATCTCTCTGTGTTCCTGGAGGGCTATTCAAGCTCTGTCCTCACGCAAGGTACAGTTTCACGCCATCAGCCGATTCTTGCTGTCTCTCCAGTCACTGTTCCTCCCAGTACTGTTTAAGTGCCGCAGGCAAAGCAGTGCCCTACCTGAGTATCCTGAAGGTCCCCTGCTCTGCAGCCCTTTGGCTCCTCCCAGCCTTGTTGGCCCCTTCTAGTCTCCAGGTCACCGCTGTGGACCACAGGTGAGACGGATGGGGACAGACTAACCCACCATCCCCTCGTTCTCCCTCACCACCCTTCCCTAATGGGCAGCTGGGCTTTGTAGTTGTGTCTGTCCTAGAAAACTCGGACAGAAAAAGGTTAGCTTTCTAGCAAGCTTGCATGTTTTTCACCACTCACTGTGGGGAAAATGCTCCTCCAGGCACTGTGCTTGCTGGTCTACCTGAAAACCTTCCTCTTCTTCCTCGGAGGGTGAGACGGGGCGAAGACCTTGCCCCAGCCCAGAAGCTGCCCAGAGAGGTGCAGCCAACCCTTTCCTGAGTAGTCCACACCCGAACACCTTGCACCTATAAAGGTCAAAGGTGGGGAGGTCATAGGTCTTTCCCAACTGAGGAGTGATTAGTGCCCATCTTTCCCCATTGAGCAAGATTCTCAGTTTCAGTGTTGGTGAGGAGTTAAGATTTTTATGCAGCTTCAAGGTATGAGTGAGATGTGTAAGACATGCCTCCCTGGAAAGTGTGTTGATAACTAAGTTATTTGCAGGTTCTGGGTATCCCTGCAGTGCTAATGATTATTGGTGTCTTACTCTGAGGTTAACATTGAACAAGGATGGTCTTGTTCCTGGAATGCATTTACCCAGAAGATCATCTTTCATGTCTTTTACCTGGTTCTGAGCATTCTCAGTATTGACAAATATTTGTGTGAAGGGGAAGAACATTCTGAGATCCTATCATTTTAATAACTCAGAAGACAACTGGCAAAGCAGTTGTCTCCCTCCCTGGGTCCCCGTCTTGTGTGCTTTACGTCAGGTGTTCCCTTTGGTTGCACCACTAGAAAGGGTGTTGATGCCTTAGCAATCACTCCTCCTATTCATGTGCATCCTGTACTGTCCCCATCCCCCGCCTCCACCACCCCCAGCTTCCAGTCATCACTGTGCACTCTGTTCCTTATGATCAACTGTTTCGGGTTCCACAAACTGGTGAAATCATTCAGTGCTTGTCTTTCTGTGTCTGACTTACTTCACTAAGCATAGTGTCTCCCAGGTTCATCTGCATTGCAGCGAGTGCCAAGTCCTGTTCTTTTTATAGATTAATAGTATGCCATTGTGTATGCCTCCGAAATTTCTGTATCCCTCTTTCCACTGTGGGACACAGAGATTGATTCTGTGTCTCGACTATCATGATAGTGCTACAACAAACATGGGCATTCTGGGGTCTCCCTGGTGCTGGGTTTTCTTTTCCTTTGGGTTTGTATGGTGATGGGATTGCTGCAACATCTGGAGCTTCTGCTTTTAATGTTTTCTTCAGGAATCGCCACACTGCTCTGCATATGGTGGGCTAATTTGCATTCCCATAAACAGTGGACAAGCAGTCTCCTTTCTCCAGGTTGTTGCCAGAGTCTTATCTTTTGTCTTTCTGATAGCAGACATTCTCAGTGGAGTGAGAGAGAGCTCACTGTGGTTTTGATTTGCATCTGCCTGATAACTAGCCATGAGGAACATTTTTCATATATCTGTTGGCTATTTGTATGTCTTCTTTTTAAAGAATTATTTATCTGAAAGGCAGAGCAACCGAGAGAGAAGACAGAGGGAGAGGCAGAGGGAATGAGAGAGAGAGATTTTCATCCACAGGTTCACTCCCCAAATGGCTGCATTGGCCAGAGCTCGTCTAGGCTGAGGCCATGCCCAGAATTCCATCTAGGTCTCTCATGCAGATGGCAAGGACTCAAGTACTTGAATCATCATCCATTGCTCTCCCAAGCCCATTAGCAGGGAGCTTTATGGGAAGCACAGCAGCCAGGACTCAAACTAGCACTCCAATCCAGGGTGCTGGCATCACGAGCTGCAGCAGTCTAACTTGCTGTGACACAGGCCAGCCCTTGTATGTTTTAGTTGCTTGGTTTTGGCTTCCTCCTAAATCACATGGAAATATTTTGCTTTGTTCCTTTATTTATTACAGTCTCCCAGGCCTGAAAACATGGCACTGGACTCTCTGTGAGTACATGTTATGAACCAACGGAAATCGGCAACAGAGTGGAGGAATCCAAGGATGGTTGATGATCAACGGTGACACAGCTATCACATTCACTTCAGTTCCCTGTAGTTTGCAGCTGTGTCTACAATGGAATGATACTTCCAGTTGGGAATGATGTTCTAAAATTGTCACCAAAATTCCCCATTCAATCAAGCATCTTATTAAATTGTTTGGTGATTTGAATTTATTGCATCAATCATGGTGCTGCCGTATCCACATTTTCAATAAGTGGGGTGGGCAGTTGGCACGGGGTTTAAGGCACTGCTTGAGATGCCCACATCCTATGCCAGAGTGTACGGGTTCAAGTTCTGGCTCCATGTCTGATCCAGCTTGCTGCAAAGCACACCTCATAGGAAGCAGGTGATAGCCCAAACACTTGGCTCCCTGCCACCTACATGGGAAACATGATTTGAGCTCTGGGCTCCTAGATTTCCCTGGCACAGCCCCAGCTGCTTTCAGGCATTTGAGGAGTGAACCAGTGAATGAATTTCCTCTCTCTCCTCTCTCTCTCTCTCTCTCTCTCTCCACACACACACACAACACACACTTTCTCTCTCCTCTTCGCTCTTTCAAACAATAAAAATAAACAGTAAAATTTAAAAATAAGAACATAAATAAAATTATTGAAATACATGGAGTCCACTCCAGGTGAAGAATCCCTTCCCAGGCTCAGATGGTCCACAGTCATTAAAGCTTACTTGGAGCATCAGTTGTCAAATATCCTCACCACCACACACAGGGAAACCTGCCAAATTCCTCTTCCAGAAGAAGAAATGGGCAGGAAACCAGATGCACACCCACATCACGTAGAGTGCCCAACACCAGCCACTGGAGCACTTCACTGTGACAGCGCCTGCACCTGCACAAACCCCTAAATGCCCCCTGTGCCTTTCGCGGTTCTCCTTAACCCCACGCTTCTCTTCTTCTGCCCCCAGTTCAGCCTCAGTGCCATGGATGAGAGCAACAGGACCCTCTCTGGGGACTTCACCCTGGCAGGCCTCTTCCCTCACAGCAGTGCCGCTGGGCTCCTGTTCAGCATCATCTGTGCCATCTTCTTCTCGGCCATGCTGGCCAATGGGGTCATGGTCTTCCTGATCCACGTGGACCCCCAGCTCCACACCCCCATGTACTTCCTGCTCAGCCACCTGTCTGTCCTTGACATGATGTACATCTGTACCATCGTGCCCAAGATGCTGGTGGACCACCTTGGGCCGGGCACCATCTCCTTCGTGTCCTGTACGGCCCAGTACTTTTGTACATGGGCTTCGTGGGGGCCGAGTTCTTCCTCCTGGGGCTCATGGCCTATGACCGCTACGTGGCCATCTGCAACCCACTAAGATACCCTGTCCTCATGAGCCGCCGGGTCTGCTGGCTCATCCTGGCCAGCTCATGGTCTGGTGGGGCTCTGGACAGCTTCCTCCTCACGCCCCTCACCATGAGGCTCCCATTCTGTGCCTCGCACAAGATCAACCACTTCTCTGTGAGGCGCCCACCATGCTGAGGCTGGCCTGCGGGGACAAAGCCGCCTATGAGATGGTGATGTACGTGTGCTGCGTCGCGATGCTGCTGCTCCCCTTCTCCGTGGTGGTAGCATCCTATGCCCGGATCCTGCTCACTGTGCGCCGGCTCAGCTCCATGGAGGGCCAGAGGAAGGCCTTGGGCACCTGCACTTCACACCTGGTGGTGGTGACGCTCTTCTATGGGGCCGCCCTGTACACGTATATGCTGCCACCATCTTACCACACCCCAGCACAGGACAAGGTCTTCTCCGCCTTCTACACCATCCTCACCCCCCTGTTAAACCCACTCATCTATAGTCTGCGCAACAGGGACGTGGCAGGGGCCTTCAAGAGGGTTGTGGCAAGACACCGAGGGCCTGTGGTGTTGCAAAGAAAGAATTCTAGAACTGCACCTGTTCCACAGCTCATTCTAGTACAGCGCCACTGGTGCTGCGGCAGCTACCACACCAGATGTGTCAAAGCAGGCTCAGCCGTGCTTCCATTTTGGCTTCCACACTCAAGCAGTGCCAGAGCCCTGCACACACGACTTGGCTTTGTTCCTCCTTTGTTTCCACTGGTTCCAATTCTTCTTTCATCAGCTCTGATCGCATTTCGTGGTTACCACTGTCCCTAAATGCCTGGCTACTGTTTCATACTCAGCCCGTCTTCAATGTCCTCTTAAGACCGGTGACTTTGGCTACAGGATTTAAATGGCCAGTTTGTGGAACCGATGGAATATTTGGGGATTCTGACATCTGAAGCACTGTTAAACCTCAACAGGGGAAGGGCATTTGGCTTAGCAGCTAAGACAATGATTAGGATGCCCGTGTTCCATTTTGGATGTCGATGTTCAATACCTGGCTCTGGTTTCTGACTCCAGCTTCCTGCTAATGCAGTCCAGAGGGACAGCAGTGATGGCCCAAGCATTTAGATCCCTACCACCCATGTGGTATAGACCCAGATGGAGTCCTTGGCTCATGACTTCAGTCAGGGATAGGTTGTAGGCGTCCGCGGGGTGAACCAGCAGATCAGTGTTCTCTCTCTCTATGCCTCTTGAATAATAAAACAAAACAAAAACAAACGAAAGACTTCAAAGGAAATACTTACATAAAGAAACAGATTTAGAAAATCCAAATAGCCCTTTCTTTGACTAGCAACTGGAAAAAAGTATTTTCTAAATCTGCACATGGGAAAAATGACTCATGAGTTTTTGTAGAAATGCAAAACCAGGGTTCTACTATGTTGTATTTTCTGTGGGACAAACAACCACTGTTGAGAAATGGGTGCCTCATAGCTACCATCCAGTTTTGTCTAGTCTGCTAAGGTTTGCCACTCTGGGGGTGGATCTCAACACTTTTCTCCCAAGAAATAGTGAACAACATGCATTTATAACACCGGTTTGCACTGGAAAACAGTACACAATGGAAGAAATGCCAGCTTTCCATCTGGAGGTTAGACCTGGGATGCTTTTGGAAATGACTGAGTATCATTTATGTGGGGCCAAGAGACAGTAAACAGACCCGGGTTGCTAAGGTCAGGGGATAGAGAAGGATGGACAAACAGAACATGGAGGATTCAGGGCAGGGACCAACCACAGACAACAAGAAGTGGCAGGCCACAGGACGGGAAGCCTTTTCCACGACTCACGGACCCATGGAACAAAAAATATGAACCTTAATGTGAACCACAACCCTAATTAACAGTCACGTGTCAAAGTGACTCACCAGTTATGACAAGCAATATGCTGATAGTGAGAGGAAGAAGGAACTTGTATGATCTGGTGAGTTAAACCTGAATCTGTACTAAAACATAATGTTGTTCACAACATCTTCCTAGAGACCAGGAAAACTTCTGATGCTGTATTTCAGTCAATAAGCCACAAGAAACCGTCACCAGGCAGAAGTAAGGAGGGGCAGGCATGCAGTGTAACTGTTGGTTTAATTGGCTTGGTATAGAGCTTTGGTGATGTGTATTTGGGGATGGGAGAGGAGGTGAGGCTGTGTGCATAATTCTTGCATACCAGTGGTTGTCAGTCTCACACGTGTTGTAGGTCATGGTTCAGGTGGTCATCAGTCTCACACATGTTACAAATCAAGGATCAAGTGGTTGTCAGTCTCACATGTGTTGTAGATCATGGGTCAGGTGGTCATCAGTCTCATGTGTGTTGTAGAAGAAAAGGGTCAGGTGGTCATCAATTTCACACATGTAGATGTGGATCAGAAGGTCGTCAGTCTCACGTGTGTTGTAGATCATGGGTTAGGTGTTTGTCAGTCTTGTGTGTTGTAGAAGATGAGGGTCAGGTGGTCGTCAGCCTCATGCATGTTATAGATGAGGTCAGGTTGCCATCAGTCTTCTGTGTGTTGTAGATGAAGGTCAGGTGGTGACACATGTTGTAGATCATGGGTCAGGGGCCGTCAGTCTCACATATGTTGTAGATGGGGTCAGGTGGCCGTTAATCCCATGTGTTTTGTAGACCATGGATCAGGTGGTTTTAGTCTCACACAGGGATATTGCAGAACTTCCTTGTCATCACATGTTCCTCTCCCTTCCGTGCACAGGAGATACCTGTCTGCACCACCTGTGTGTTCAGGAGAGACAGTACTCTCTTTCCTGCACTCTGACTTCCCTCTCCCCAAGAGGACACAGCCTTTGGAGATGAGGCTGCACTGCAGGGTGAAGCCTTAGCAGACTGAGAGCAGGGGATGAAGCATGCCATTCAGGGCCAGCGCCACTCTTGACCACGTATACTCTGGATCCAGCTCCCTGCTAATGCACCCTGTGAGGCAGCGCATGCTGGTCCAAGGACTTGGGCTCCTGATAGCCATAGGCCAGGTGGAGTTCCTGGCTCCTGGCTTCAGCCTGGCCCATCCCTAGCTGGTGCAGGTATTTGAGGAATGAGTAAGCAAATGGAATCTCTGTCTGTCATTGTGCCTTTCAAATAAATTAATAAACAAGAGTGAGTGGAATACTTTCTTCCATATTTTTTCTTAGAAGGTTGTTATCTATCATAGCAAGTACCATTCCCCAAGAATGCCCTAAAATGTCATGTAGTTCAGATCATCAAAGCTGTGCAAGGATAGCAGGAAACATCACCCCTCTCACCCAGCACTGAAAGCCTCACTTTAAGCTCCCAGACAGACGTGGCCTTTGACAGAATTGAAGCTGAGCGGCCTTGGCTGTGTCTGCAGGAAAAGCTGAATATCAGTGCCCAGAGCCCACAGAGCACATCTCGGGACTGTGGCTTCCTCTGGTGGAAACCAGCTGCTGAAAAGTGAGGTCTGTGTCCACAGAAGACCTGGCAAGTCTCAAACCTGGGCTGGATCCCCGTGCAGTGATGAAGCCATTTGTGTGACACTGCTGAAGCCACAAGCAGGGCACGACGTCCCATTCCCATGCATGGTGGCTGGCACAGCTTTGAAAATTTTAGACAACATAATGCATATTATGAAAACTTCAAAATTTTAAAAAAATGGAAATATTTATGTTTGTGCATTCAATAACTATGTAAGCAAAGGCAACGTTATTTTCTAAATAGTAATTACTTACTAATTAGAGGTTGTAGATCAGTAAAATTAAAAAGTAAATTAGTATATAAAAATCAGAAGCCTTCAAATTTGCCATAAATAAACACTGATAAATATTTAAAAATCCAGAAGCAAATAAATAAAGGGGTAAATTTAATTATAAACAAAAGTAAAGTGAGAGGTACCCAGAGCATGCATGTGCACACCATATATATTTACACCACACACACATATGAATATTTAAACCACAACACATTTCTATATACCACTCACACATGTACACACCTCATGCATACATGAATACATATCTACATGCCACACACATGCGTATCTATCTATACTACTACAAATCATACCTTTATAATAATTATATATATACACACACACACATATAAGTGAGGCAGAGAGACAGAGAGAAGAGAGACAAAAGAGATCTTCCACCTGCTGATTCACTCCCCAAAATGTTCACAACAGACAAGGCTAGGGCAGACTGAAGCCAGGGGCCAGGAACTCCATGCTGGACTCCCACATGGGCAGCAGGGACCAAAGCTCTAGTCATCATGGGTGCTTCTCAGTATGCGCCTTAGCAGAAAGCTGAGATCAGCAGCAGAGCCAAGCCTGGAACCCAGGAGCTTGGTTATGGAATATGGACCTCCCACATGACATCCTAACTGCTAAGCCAGCACCCACCCCCAGATCACAAATCTCAGGGAGAAAGTTAGCAGTCCCTGACTGGCCCACAGGGCTGGGTACAGGCCTCGATGAGAAGAGCGTCTGTGAGGCTGTCAGTCACATCGCAGCGAGTGACATGGCTGGTGCTAATCCAAGAAAAGCCACGAAGGGATTCCAGAAAATGCATGGAGAATGCACAGAATGGACGCAGGTATGTGTGCATTTCAGAAACTTGTTAGGCCAAACTAAGTTTATCTTTTAAGTCCATTTCCTACACACTTTGTGAAGTCTCTTTGGTTGTATGTGTATGTGTGTAAGCACACCAGCACGTCACACACCTGCACACACAGTGGAAAGCAGTTTTGCAAAGGTAGATGCCGTATGAGGCTTTTGATGACTTTCCCTGGTTTATAGGGAGGGAAGCATTTGTAAGCTTTCACATCTTTTTCCAGGGATAAGCGTTGCCTGAATAGCCAGGCAAAATGATCCGGTTAAACCACCGTCATGGCAGGACAGCGCGGCAGAAAGGAGCTACTTCCTGCTGCCCCTGCATGCCTGTCTTTGTCCCCACATTTCCCCAAGGAAGCTGTGCTGGCCGAGGTCTCTTACGGAGCACCGGGGACAGCAGGGTGCTCCTGTGGTGTCAGGCGCTCTCTTGCACCCATCACCTGCTCATTAGCTGTGGCCCGTCTGCCTCATGGAAGTCTCCCGAGACCCTTGGGGGAGGGGGCTTGCTCTTTTCAGCAGTGTTGCGCAGCTCCCAGTAAACTATTTACATCTGGCTGTTCTGGCTCTGTGCACTCCCTGCTGTGCCAGGGACCCTGCTGCCTGCCTTTTCCTTTTTCACATCTGCTTGTCCCTCTTTGCTGAGTATTTCCCAGCAAGATGGCAGGTGGGTGTCATCACACGTTTCTTTCTAGGAGGGTTGTGTGATGGGTTGTGTGCACAGTGGTTCCGGATAGCTGGGACAGTGTTTGTTAGTTTGTTGTAACGATTCTACCTTCTGCAAGCACATCACAGAACAGCTCCCAGTAACCCGCTGTCTGTCTCTGTGCCGACTCCACCCTCAGTTGATAGCTCAGCTGTGTCAAGCAGCAGGGTCCAAAGGACTGGGTCCTCAGAGGCCACTGTGGACAACACCTGTGCATGCAGAGTGACCACTCCCTGAGGGCTCTCCTGGACGGCCACGGCTGGGGTTGTGTTGGCATTTCCATCTCTGTATGAAGCGGAGGAGGAGGTAAGTTCACTGAGCATCGCCATTTCCCCTTGCTGCAAAGCTCTTCCATTCTTAGCTCTGTTGTTCTCCACGCCTTCTCTGCTTGCACCGAGTTCCTGGGTTTGCAGTAAGCTGTGGTTTTCCTAAACCGTGCCTGGTGATCTCTTTGTAATCATAAGCACTGGCAGTCCAAAGGGCCACCTGCAGATGTGGGCACTCAGGAAGTGACAGAAGGAGCCGTTCTGGGCATTCAGATGTGTTTTGACGTTAGGAATGTGTGCTTCATTCTTGGACACCTGCTAGGGGTCGTGTGGGACTTTGATTCTGGAGCCCGCAGGCACTCAGGCTGTGCGATAGACTCATGACAAGATGGATACGAGGTGATGTGGGAAAAGCAAATAAATTATTTTAAGGTTTAAACTATTGGGTTGAATAGCTTGATGTTTAGTTTGAATGATGAGAAATTCTTGGTTAAAAGGAAGCAAGTCAGCGACTCCCCTAGCATCAGACCAGCTCCCTTCTGAGACTCCAAACCCGGAAAGGAGAGCCAGATGGGGTTCCTCAGGTGGCAGTCTGGATGGGGCTGTGCTCCCGGCCTGGTGCCAGGAAGCATCGCCTGGCACATCTGTTTGAGAGCAAATGAACTGAGTTTCTTCAACAGTTCGTAGCAATATGAGTGGATTCACATCCCCTCTTAGGATACTGCAAACGTTTGTGGAAAAATAGAATCACAAGGTAAATTTACTTTGGCTCAAAAAGTGAAGTCCACCCCTAAGTTTTTCATTATATGCACATTCATGAGTTTTTTGAAGATCTCTCCTACACAATCTGCTTTTAAAAAAATTACACCTAATCAATGTATCTTTAGATTCTATCGTCCCATCAAGCTTCTGGAAGCCATTCGCAGAAGACACAAGCAAGAATCGCTCAGGCTGAGCCTCAGGGAAATGAAGCAGGGTTGTGTGCAGCTGCTGGGCTGCACGACACAGGTGCACGTCGGCGGCAGGACGACAGGGTCACTGCAGAGCCTGGCACGGGCACAGTGAGCCTCAGCCTGGGAGAGGACCACAAGGGCACCCGGCAAGCAGCCTTCTTCCCTTTATAAGGCCGGCTTCCCTGTCTGCGTAGAATTAGAGCAAACCCTTTGCTTCTGTTTACTGTTATTTTGTGATTGATCTAAGGGCGTGTTATTCTTGTGCAGGAGTGGGTGAGGGCATGGAGAGGCTAAGGCACAGCTGGCGCTTGGCTTCTGAAGCACAGCCTGCACCCAGGATCCCCAGGTCTCCACCCGGCACACTGCTTGTATCCCTGCCCTCCTTTCACAGGAAGGGCCGCTGATGACCAAGTGGAGGTGCCTGCTTGGCAGATACAGAGCTGGCCTGAGGACCTGGCAGCTGGCTGGACACGAGCCCGGGCCCTGTGCCTTCCACCTGGAGATGCAGTCACTCTGCAAGCCACTGCCCATCACGATGGAAGGGTGTGTGGACACCGACCCCTTGAGGGGGGCTCTGCCGGTACTCACATCAGCAGCAGAAACCTGTGTCGGAAACAGCGGGCCCTCGCCTGAGGCCTGCCTGTGCCTTATGTTCTTGTGACAGGCAGGAGGGTTGTGTGGTTGGCAGTGACACCTGGCCCCAAGTCACACCCCAGACTGAGGGAAAACTGATAATTTTGTGGTTCTTCCTCCAATCTGAGTCTATCTTAAGGAGCCCATTGTTGAAATACTGAGCAGAATAAAGACAACCCAGAGAAGACTCAGGAACACGTACTGTGTATCTAGTTTCAGAGTCGCACTAGTGTGTTCTGAGCTGGGATTGAGATCCCCGTGCAAAAACTCCACTGTGAGTCTCCGCGGGCTCGGAGTCAGCAGCACAGCAGACTGTTGTAAAGCAGAGAGGGCCTGGCCCCAGTGTGTTCCATATGGAAGAGCTGGATCCTGCAGGAACCTGAGAAATGATGACGCGGCATTTTACAATGGGACACTGTGAAGATTCACCCGGGTGAACACTTGGGCTCCAGGATTTCAGCAACAAATTTGCAGGTGAAAGCAGACAGGAACGAGGCAGCACAATGTGGCACGGAGAGGAGGAGCAAGTGTACCGTCTCATCCATCCACGGAGGGGTCGGACGTTTAACGGGAAGAAAATTGCTCCTGAGCAGATGGGCAGGGCCAGGAGCAAGGTGCATGAGCAGCTACTAGTGCAGGCAGCACTGGGCCACGCAGAGGCAGGTGACAGCTGCCCTCACACCTGTCACTTCATTTAGGACAGCGTCAGGGATCATCACCTGTCCTGTGCAGGGACAGTGTCCTGACTTCAGACTGTAGTGAGTGGGAGGAAGAAATGGGCGCCATCCTGATCTAACCCAACCTGCCCCTTGGGCAGAACAGGAGGAAAGTTGTGCAGGTCAGGGTGGTATCCATGTGCTGCTTCCTGTGGACGCGCAGTCTTAGGAAACAATGAGCAATTTAAGTAAGCCTGAAGGACAGCTCTAGGGGCTGACGCTGTGGCATAGTGGGGTAAAGCGCTGCCTGCAGTGCTGCCATCCCATACGGGTGCCGTGTCGAGTCCTTGTTGCTCCACTTCCTATCCAGCCTCTCTGCTATGGCTGGGAAAGCAGTGGAAGATGGATCCTGCACCTGTGTGGGGAGACCTGGAAGAACTCTGGCTCCTGGCTTCAGTCGGCCCAGCTCCAGCAATTGTAGCTATCAGGGCAGTGAACCAGCAGATGGAAGACCTCTCTCTGTCTCTGCCTCTCTGTAACTCTGCCTTTCAATAAATAAATTGAAAGAAGGAAGGAAGGAAGGAAGAAGGAAGAGAGGAAGGAAGGAAGGAAGGAAGGAAGCTAGCTTTAAAACCCATGCTATTTTACCCAATAGCCTTTTCTTTTCTATGTCCTCACCATTTGCAGAGCAAGCAAATCTGGTTGTTTCCTCAGAGACATTTGGAGTTTCTACAAGTTTAGTTGCAAGACAGACATTTTTCTGAGAGTTTCCACTAAATGCCATTTGCTGCAGGTCAAGGAGGGAAGTGCAGAGCCCAGCTGCTGTAGCTTCATGGGGCTTCACTGGGCTCACAGGCCTGCTGAGCGGGAGACACTTACATCTCAACTCCACACACTTCAGGAGAAGTGTGGCTTCCTTAAGTGAAAGGCTGGGAATTCTCACACATTTACCAATAGTTTTGAGATAATTTACATGTGATTATATAACACCACCATTTTACTTTGTATTATAAATATGTATAATATGAAACAAATATTTCACCTGTACTACACATTTCTTATTTAATCCTTAGCTCAGCTCTGAATGTGTTATTGTCTCAACCTAACAGAAACAGACACTGAGGCTCAGAGAGTCTGCAGGGAGTCCAGTGCTACAGAATTGATCACCGTCACGACCAGGAGAAGAACTCGGTTCATCTGATTCTACATTATTTTACTGTGCGCCTATCATAGCGTTTCAGAAGCAGCTTCTTGAATACAGGCACAGAATTGTTTGGAACATTCCCTGGCTGTTTTCACGTGGACTAAACCAGAGTAAGGTGAGCAATGTGCACCCAGGGGAGACTCAGCACTGCAGGCCCTCTCACCGCACCACTCCACAGCCAGGGAGCCCGCAGTAGGTGTCACTGATCATTTCAAGGCAGGCAAACTGCAAGGCAGAGGAGTCATCTGGATTAGCGCCAGTGTTGACACTGGCCACAGAAAAGGCAAGCAGAGGAAGACCAGGGCTTGAGCATGGGCCAAGAGCAGAGAAGACTCTCTGGTGGTGTGAGACAGTCCATGTCTGGACTCTTGAGAGATGATCAAAGTTGAACCTGGAATGCAGGAAGGGGCAAGCAGTAGGATCGCTGCAGCTGGGTGGGTTTCCCCATAGGTCTTACTGCAATCCATGAATGAAAACTCACAAGGGTAAGGAAACAAGGCACATTGTAAATGATGATAGAATTGTTGTCAAGAAAATCCATGAAACCTAGCACAAAAACATTCAGAGCTAGGGAAAAAAGAAATCAAGAAGACAGTTTACACTCCAAAATTCCATAGCCCTGATGATTATAGCTTATGGGATCCACTCCCCGTTAGGACTAACGTCCAGTAATCTCACTGAAGACTGCATGGAGCTGAAAGCTGGCCACAATCCCATGGCAGGTGCATTTGTGTGGAAGCCACCATGGAGGCCTGGGCTGTGCAAGGGTGCACAGGATGGACTGAGCCTGCCTGGTCCAAACCCTGCTCCTGCTCATGGCCACACAGCACAGACACATCACTGCCAGTTCTGCAGCATGCGAGTACCCACATCCCAGCTTCCCTGTAAATTCCTTTCCTGCAAGCTTTGTGCAATGTTAAAACCATTATTCTAAATAATGCCCACATTTTTCAAATACATAAGAGGATCATTAGATTTGTTTGATCAGTTTAGCTCCTAACATAATTAAATATTTCCTAGTGAGCACATTTAGTATCTAAACATATAAGACATCATCCTTTACTTTCAGAAAGTTTCCTATGGATATTTTTTTCTTTACCATGACTTTAAGTTACATGAACCACAGTCACTCCTCTTTTCTTAATCATGAAGCACCAATTTCCAAAACTGACAGGTGGGTTACAGCTCAACATGTGTATACCTCTCGATTTCCTCTGTATTCCAATTGCTAATCATGCTAACTGCAATGCTAATCATAATTCTAATGCTAACTCTCTATATCCTAAAATTAAACTTTCCTTATTAAAAATAAAGTAAATTCTTGGATGGGGTGCGTATTTGGTCTAGTGGTTGAGACGCCAGAAGCTTCACCCTGCATCCTCTATCAGAGCGTCTAAGTTCAGGTTCCACCTCCAGCTTCCTGCTAATGCAGACACTGGGAGGTGTAAGTGATGACTCAGGTAATTAGGTTCTTCCTCATATAAGAGAGACTTGGACTGATTCTTTGTCCCTGGCTTCAGCCTGGCCAGGTCCTAGCCATTTTGGCCATTACAGGATTGAACTGGCAGATGGGTGTGTCTTCTCTCTCTCATCCATCTTTCTCTCTGCCTTTCAAATGAATAAAAATAAACATCATAAATTCTAGAACTGTGAATGCCTCGTATAGATGAATTTGTAAGAGTGGCCTCCATTGCTCAGCTCATTTCATGCCATGCATTCTGTCTGCAATAGAGATGAACTAACACCAAGCAAAATCTTGTGATAGAGACAGCAACTCAAGGCCCACGGGGAAGGTTACTCATGCACTGGGCTCATGGCAGAGAGACTGCCCACAGTCAAAATTAAGGGAGCTTTGAAGGTGATGGTGATGCTGACACAAAGAAATGCATGCAGATGCATCCAATGTGGCACATGCATGTGTACGCATGTATGCATTTAAGGTAGCACACACATGCACATACACACTGACAAACCACCGACTCCCGTGTGCACTTGCTCAGGTGTTGTCGCAAGCATCATTGTAGCACAGCAGCTGACATCTTGTCCAATGTGTGGAAAGAAGTATCCACTAATAATGGCCTATTTACTAAAAAAATGTGGCATAGACTAGTTGCTAGGTATCAGGTCCCATGTACCAAGAAAATATTTTTAAATGTTCTCTTTTAACTTTTAGAAGTTTGCTGCCTGACATTAATCTCTGTGTTGTCATTCTGATTCCCTGGAATGCTACTATGTCATTTGGAAAATTCTGGACTCCCTCAGCACCGCTGTGAGTCATGGACGGTCCAACATGACTTCCACAGACTTCACCTTTGTGGGGCTATTGGCAGTGAGGAAACCTCAGGCCTGCTCTTCACCATCATCTCCATCATTTTCCTCTCCGCACTGACAGCCAATGGGATCATGATCCTCCTGATCCACACTGACCCCCGCCTCCACACCCCCATGTACTTCCTGCTCAGCCACCTGTCCTTCATTGACATGATGTACATCTCCACTATTGTGCCAAAGATGCTGGTAGACCACCTGCGTGGCCAGAGGGCCATCTCCTTTGTGGGGGTGCACAGCCCAGCACTTCCTCTACCTCACCCTTGTCGGGGCCGAGTTCTTCCTGCTGGGGCTCATGGCCTATGACCGCTATGTCGCCATCTGCAACCCGCTGAGATACCCTGTCCTCCTGAGCCGCCGGGTCTGCTGGATGATCATAGCGGGCTCCTGGTTTGGGGGCTCCCTGGATGGCTTCCTCCTCACGCCTATCACCATGAGCTTTCCCTTCTGCAGATCCCGGGAGATCAATCATTTCTTCTGTGAGGCGCCTGCAGTCCTGAAGCTGGTATGCGCAGACACAGCCCTCTATGAAACCGTCATGTACGCCTGCTGCGTTTTGATGCTGCTGATCCCGTTCTCTGTGGTTATTGCTTCCTATGCCCGCATACTGACTACGGTACACCGCATGAGCTCGGTGGAGGGGAGGAAGAAGGCGTTTGCCACCTGCTCGTCCCACATGATGGTGGTCACACTGTTCTACGGGGCCGCCATGTACACCTACATGCTGCCTCGCTCTTACCACACCCCGGCCCAGGACAAGGTGCTGTCTGCCTTCTACACCATCCTCACCCCGCTGCTGAACCCCCTCATCTACAGCCTGCGGAACAAGGATGTGATGGGAGCCCTGCAGCGGGCACTGGGTAGAGTCAAAGGCTCTCAAAGAGTGGCAGGAGGCAACTTCTGATGCCCACCCCTGCCCATGCAGACAGCAACTAGGACCACCTGTCCCAGCAACCACACTAGCATCAAACGTGGAAACAGGAAGGAAGAGTTCAACAAGGGACGGGGTAAAGTTAACACTAAAAAAACTGTCCTCGTGACATCTCTCCCTCTCTACTTTGTTTCTTATCCCTTTCCTTTCATTGCCCCATTCATACATCTCCAAAATGAATGCCTGCTGATTTCCAGAAAAAAAAAAGGATTAGAAAGTTTTGTTCTAGAACTCTACCTCCTGGAGGACAGGAAGTCTCACGGAAGTTTCAGTGGCATGGACGGCATCAAGACGTGCAGGAGGAGGATAGCTGTGTGGGACTTGGGTCACTACTCCAGAAGCCTGGCTCCTCCTCTGTGGTCAGGCGAAGACCACTGTTTCCGTCTTTGGCCCAACCTCAATGGGAGAGGGTTGTGTTGCTTCCCACGCTCTGCCAGCGTGGTAGGCGCAGAGTCACTAGGCACAGTTCTCTCAAACAGCCCATCGGAGTCAGTAAAACCATTCTGTGCTTGTTGCTTTCAGTCAAAAAGGGCATCTGAGTTTTGTTTGCAATGTGTGAGTGAAAACTATTTGTCAGATAAGTAAAAAATGATGTATGAGAGCAAGGAGCATGGCCAAGAGAAACCAATGTGAGAGTGTGGTATGCCATGGCGGGGGTGAGCAGGTGTTTCTAGCGCTTTGGAGAAACCTGCAGGGCCTTAGGGTGGGAACAGTGAAATGCTTTTCAAACATGTCCAGTGCCTTCAAAACGGAGGCTGCACTGGCCAGGGGATGCCGCTGTCAGTCCATGAACTGATAGGGGACAAGAAGGAACAGACCATGTCGGTCTTCTTGATTGATATGTGAGGAGCTCATGCAGGCACCAGACACAACCATGGTCATGACATAAGTAGACTAATCAATCTCTCAAAGCCTTGGTAGTGCCTGTTCATCCTCCCACAGTCTCCACTCATCGTGAGTTCCAGTTCAGGGGTGAGGGCAGTGGGCTTCAGAGACACGAGGACTTCCAGAGGCCAGCAATGTGAAGTAGTGCCCTGATGACTTCACTAGCAGCACATTGGTGAGTGAGTGCACCAGACTGCATGGTTTCGAGGACACAGTTGATTGCACCCTTTGCCCTTCAGCATCCTCATCCATGCACTCACTGGTGTGTCCACCAATTCTTCATACCTGTGAGCAAGACTGACAATGCCCTTGCACTCAAACAATTTGCATTGCAGTGAGGAAAGAAAGCAGATAAAAAACACATAAATCCCACACACACTGAGTGTGGCAGCAGTGACCACAGCTGGGCATCTCTGTATCCAGAGCCCTGCAAGTCATCCTTGGGCAAGACCATCCATGTATAATGTCAACCAAAATAGGTGTGGTGGCAGGTGAAATGCACAAATGTGCTGATGGTGAAGGGAGTCCCTGAGCTGTGCTGTATGAACTCAGAAAAGCTGGATTTCTGATGCTACTGGCAACAACATGGATTGACCACAACCCACTGCTGCACTGAGAAAACAGTGCAGATCCAACAGAGCTACCCTGTGCCTGGGGGGGCCGGCGGCTGGAGGATGTGTGAGCAGGTTTCAGGAGCTCTCAGTTTTCTCTTTCCTGATGTGAATGCTGATTGCACACCCAGTGCTGAGCTTGAGAAAACTCATGAAATTCAAGGTTTTTGGATATGTAGTACTTTTTTTATGTAGACTTTACTTCAATAAAAAACCTGTAGCTCATAATTTATTGTGAAATATACAAGACATACAACAACATAGCAGAACATTGGAAATAGGTTTATGGGGGCCAGCGCTCTAGCGCAGCTGGTAAAGCTGCTGCCTGTGGTCCTGGCATCCCATATGGGCACTGGTTCAAGGACTGGCTGCTCCACTTCCCATCCAGCTCACTGCTGTGGCCTGGGAAAGCAGCAGAAGTTGGCCCAAGTCCTTGGGACCCTGCACACACATGGGAGACCCGGAAGAAGCTCCTGGATCCTGGCTTTGAATTGGCTCAGCTTCGCTGTAACTCTGCCTTTCAAAGAAATACATAAATCTTAAAAAGAAAGAAAGAAAGAAAGAAAGAAAGAAAGAAAGAAAGAAAGAAAGAAAGAAAGAAAGAAAGAAAGAAAGGAGGGAGGGAGGGAGGGAGGGAGGGAGGGAGGGAGGGAGGGAGGGAAGGAAGGAAGGAAGGAAGGAAGGAAGGAAGGAAAGGAAGGAGGGAGGGAGGGAGGGAGGGAGGGAGGGAAGGAAGGAAGGAAGGAAGGAAGGAAGGAAGGAAGGAAGAAAGAAAGAAAGAAAGAAAGAAAGAAAGAAAGAAAGAAAGAAAGAAAGAAAGAAAGAAAGAGGTGTATGGCTACACTTGCTGTGGCATTCTGTCGCTCCCCGTCTTCGTGGAGGAACGACACAGGACCCTGCGTTGTTCTTTCGTGTGCTCAGCCCTCCCCGGGTTTGCTGCTGGTTCTTCCCAGGTTGGCTACAGTCCCTTCCACCTCCGTGGAAGGGCGGTTCCCCCTGCCACTTTCCCCACTTCCGCAGGGGAGCGGCACACCACCGGCCGGCTCTCTCAGGGGCTGCTCAGGTGTTCCCTTTAGATGTTCCTGGTGCATGTTGTCTCTCTCCTCCTTTATAGTCCTCTTCCTCCAATCCCAACTCTGCTACCCACACGCCGAGTACGCTGCTCTCCTCCAATCAGGAGCAGGTCCTGCAGCTTGTTGGTTGAACTGGAGGCAGCTGTGTAGAAGCTGTTTCCTCCTCTCCCAGCGCCATATTGTGGGAGAGCAGATGCATAGAATAAGTCTTAATTCCAGTAACTTAGTCTAGTCTGAGTTGCTCCCAGTTGCTCCCCACAGATCCCCCTTTCTTTTATTTTTGGCATTGATACGCTCCTGTCTTCGGTGTCCCGCGGCACACACTCTGCTCTGCTTGCTAGAGTTGCCCACAGGTGCTTACAAGCCCTTCCAATCAGGCAAACCGAATCCAGGTCCTCTCTTCGCCATGTTGTGAGGAGGTTTTTAGGCGCTGATGCATGCCTGTGTTCGGTGCCCTGCAGCGCATGCTCTGCTCTGCTAGAACTGCCTGCAGGTGCTTACAAGCTCTACCAATCAGGCAAACCGAATCCAAGCCTTCTCATTGCCATATTGTGGGGAGACTTATTGATGTTGATAACGTGCCTGTCTTCGGTGACCTGCAGCCGCCCACAGGTGCTTATCGTCTTACTAATCAGGCAGACTGAATCCAAGCTCTCTCATTGCCATGGTGTGCGGAGGCCTTGTTTTTCTCTATTTCTCTATCTCCAGGCATTCCTATTTCTCCTATTTTACTTCTACCAGCATTCCTATTTCTCTCATTTTACTTCTAAACTTCTATTTCTCTTATCCCTGCAGCTTCCCGGCGCCCGCCCCGAGGCAGCTTCTCGGCACCTTGCCCCACGGCGGCTTCATTTTTTTTTCCCTAACATTTTTCTCTACCCGGTATGTTTCCTAACTTTTCTTCCAACAATATTCCTCCCTCATTTCTCCTGGCTTCTCCCCACAGTCTGTATCTGAGTCTAAGTTTCTTCTAGGTTTCACTTTCACTTTCAACCCTAACGTCCAATCCTAACTTCTTTCCCACAGTCCATATCCGAGTCTATGCCTAGGCTTTCAATAGCTTCTTCCGGAAACTTTTCCATCCGGCTTTTCCCTAGGCTCTTTGCTAGTCTCTCTCTCCGGTATTTTCCCACTTCTTCCCGTTTCTTCCCTCCTAGGTTTCCTATCCGAGTCACGGCACCATTATGTCGCTCCCTGTCTTCGTGGAGGAACAACACAGGACCCTGCGTTGTTCTTTCATCTGCTCGGCCCTCCCCGGGTTTGCTGCTGGTTCTTCCCAGGTTGGCTACAGTCCCTTCCACCTCCGTGGAAGGGCGGTTCCCCCTGCCACTTTCCCCACTTCCGCAGGGGAGCGGCACACCACCGGCCGGCTCTCTTGGGGGCTGCTCAGGTGTTCCCTTTAGATGTTCCTGGTGCATGTTGTCTCTCTCCTCCTTTATAGTCCTCTTCCTCCAATCCCAACTCTGCTACCCACACGCCGAGTACGCTGCTCTCCTCCAATCAGGAGCAGGTCCTACAGCTTGTTGGTTGAACTGGAGGCAGCTGTGTAGAAGCTGTTTCCTCCTCTCCCAGCGCCATATTGTGGGAGAGCAGATGCATAGAATAAGTCTTAATTCCAGTAACTTAGTCTAGTCTGAGTTGCTCCCAGTTGCTCCCCACAGCATTCAACCTCTGGGAGGTTCCATTTGAGCAAAAGTATGATTTAGACATAGAAAAATCCCCGTGGGGAGACTTCCAGATAGGAAGAAGAGCAGACACCACTGCACAGAACAGGAGCAGTGAGTTCAGAAGGCTGGGAGTGTTCGTGATGGGCAGAGAAGGCAAGAATGAAAACTCAGGGAGCCAGGTCAGTATGCTGTGTGCCAATGCTGGACCTTCACCCAAACTGCAGAGAGCAGCTGCTGAAGTTCTAAGCAAAGGAAAGACAGATCATGACCTGCAAGCAGAGAGTGTGTTCTAGCAGAGGGTGGGCTGTAGGGAGAAACACTGCAGCAGTGTTAGGTAGCAAGTCAGAAATTGAACCTGTGTGTGGAGACAGGCCTGAAGACCAGCAACTACTGAGGAAGCCCCAGAAGCCCAGCATCTTGCACTTCAAAGTCCTGCTCAGAACCTGATAACCTCCCAAGTGGTCCCAGCCCTTCCCCAAGGAAAGCTCCCAGGAGAATTCTCTCCTCAGGACCAAAGGCCTTACCTGACCTGATAACATGGGGCAATAAAACCTTCTCAGATGCCCTAAGGGAAGCCCCCCTACTCTGCCCAGGAGCCAGCAGATCTGGGGAGGAATTTGCTAACTTTCACCCAACAAACTCTTCTGCCAGGACTCCCCATCCTTTGTCCTGAAGGAGGGGGGTGGGTGAACAGACTCCCTTAAAAACCCGGGGAGTCCAAACAGACAGGGAGCTTA